GTTCGATTCGCCCCCCCTCTGACCTTATCCTCCCAGCATGGCCCCGGATTCATCAAGGGACCGCGCGCGCATGACTTGAGCAGGGACCGACCGTCCCGGCATTTCTATAGGCCTACCACGAAATGTTCTTAGGAACCACAAATATCCGAATAGCAAAAACAATGTTCTTAGAACGTAAGCCCGATGTGTTAACACAAGACAATCCCAGCCAGAAATGTTCTAAGAACGTTTCGCGAAAACCAGACTATGTTTAAAACCATGTTTGAATATTCCCCCTGTAGAGGGACCGGCCCGACTCAACCATAGGCGGCCGCCTCAGCGAACCCCACCCCTGACCCCCCCGCGATTTCTCTGGGGGGGAGGGGGGTTTCTCACACTTCCTTCGGGAGATCCCGAACGAAGGGACCCCCCCTCTCCCCCAGAAGCCGTGGGGGGCAAGGGGTAGGGTTCGCTCAAATGGCCCCCCTGATTTGAGCAGGGGCCGACCGTCCCGGCATTCCTACAGTCTATATAGTCCTACCACGAAATGCTCTTAGAACCGAAGAAAAATGTTCTGCGAACAGAAACGATGTTCTTAAACATAAGCCCGATGTGCTCAACCAAGACAGCCCCAACCAGAAATGTTCTAAGAACATTTCGTGGGAACCACAAAAAGGTTCTTAGACAATTGCTCGGTAGGCCTATAGGGGAGCCAGGACGCCTCGTCACTCTTGCATGACAGCAGCCCGCGGCCCTCGCGGAGCGCGCAGCGCAGCGAGCAAGCGGAGCTGGCCGCGGGGGGACCGACCCGCAGGCGGGCGGAGGCAGTCCACCATGCCTGGCGGCCGCCGGGTGCCGCTTCCCCCTCCGGAAGCACCAGCCCTGCCGTTGGCAGTTTTCGCTGGTGCTCTGCGAGCGCAGGGCCTCGCCTCCGTCGAAGAGCCAACGGCGCGGCCGCAGTGCCGGCCGCGCCTTCTTCATGTCCGGCTCCTCTGCGAGCACTCGCTTCGTCCCCGTCGAACCAGCGGCGCGGCCGCGGCCGCAGCGCCGGCCGCGCTTTCTTCATGTCTGGCTCCTCTGCGAGCGCTCGCTTCGTCTCCGTCGAAGAGCCAACGGCGCGGCCGCGGCCGCAGCGCCGGCCGCGCTTTCTTCATTTCCGGCTCCTCTGCGAGCGCTCGCTTCGTCTCCGTCGAAGAGCCAGCGGCGCGGCCGCGGCCGCAGCGCCGGCCGCGCTTTCTTCATGTCCCGCTCCTCTGCAGGCGCTCGCCCCGCCCCCGTCGAAAAACCAGCGGCGCGGCCGCGGCCGCAGCGCCAGCCGCGCTTTCTTCATGTCTGGCTCCTCTGCAAGTGCTCGCTTCGTCTCCGTCGAAGAGCCAACGGCGCGGCCGCGGCCGCAGCGCCGGCCGCGTTTTCTTCATGTCCGGCTCCTCTGCGAGCGCTCGCTTCGTCTCCGTCCAAGAACCATCGGCGCGGGCGCGGCCGCAGCGCTGGCCGCGCTTTCTTCATGTCCGGTTCCTCTGCGAGCGCTCGCTTCGTCTCCGTCGAAGAACCAGCGGCGCGGCCGCGGCCGCAGCGCCGGCCGCGCTTTCTTCATTTCCGGCTCCTCTGCGAGCGCTCGTTTCGTCTCCGTCGAAAGCCAACGGCGCGGCCGCGGCCGCAGCGACGGCCGCGTTTTCTTCATTTCCGGCTCCTCTGCGAGCGCTCGCTTCGTCCCCGTCGAAAAACCAGCGGCGCGGCCGCGGCGCCGGCCGCGTTTCGTTGTTCCCAACCAACCCGTTGCAGTGTCCTCGTTTTGAAGAAACAGCGCCCCGTGTCTCTTTCCTTCCCGCTGCCCTCCCCCTCCTCCCTTCTCATCGTCATCGTCACCATCCTCATTCCCAACCATCCTGTGGTGTCCCGCGCCACCCAATATGGCGCTTCGTGGCCCCATAGAGAACTTCACCGAAGACCGCAGTGGCTGTGACCACGTGCGCCCCCGCCACCCATCTCGGCACAGTCCTCACACGTTTCGCGGAAGGAACTCCACCGAAGGCCCCGATGGCTGTGACTATGTGCGTTTTTGTCACCCATGTCGGCACGTCCCTCACACGTTTCGTGGCCCCATAGGGGGCGCCACCGAAAGCCCCAGTGGCTGTGACCACATGCGACTCCGCCACCCATTTCGGCACACCTCTCACACGCTTCGGACCTCAGAAAGGGGGCTCCACCGAATGCCCCAGTGGCTGTGACCACATGCGTCCGCGCCACCTATTTCGGCACAGCCCTCACACGTTTCGTGGCCCCTTAGGGAGCTCCACCGAAGAGGATACGCACATTGCTGTACTCGCAACTGCAGATGGTTGGGTCCTTCGCCAGGATAGCGTTGTTTCTTGTTGTATCGATATATGCATATGTGTATTCATATATTCATGCTATCGTTAGTTTGTTTAATTATGTTCCTCTGCAAGCGCCGGCCTCGTCCCCGTCGAAAAGCCAACGGTGCGACTCACCGAAACGCCGACCGCGAGTCTGGCCCGATCTGGCCACGGCGGCGGCCGCGTGTTCGCCGTCCGAACCGTCGCACTGACCAGGCTGCCGCCGCGGGAAGGGCTTGGCCCTGGGGCCCAAGGATGGCCCCAGGAAGCCGAACTCGAGGAAACACGCCAGGACTGAAGACGTCACATCGTCGGGGATCAGGAGGCCCAGAGATCTGATGTTGTGATGTTTACAATGCGGGGTCCCCGGAAGTCTCGACCCATTCACCAGGACTGGTCTTTCATCCCGAGTCGTCTCTTGACGGTCCCCCGGGGACCCGTCGAGGGCCTCTGGAGGCCGAACAACACGAAAAGCCGTCGTCCTGACTTGCTCAATTCGTTGGATCTCTGGGGGTCTTAGAGCAGGGACCGACCGTCCCGGCATTTCTATAGGCCTAACCACGAAGTGTTCTTAGAACCCAGAAATGTTCTAAGAGCCAAAACAATGTTCTTAGAACATATCCCCGATGGGTTACAAACAAGGCAGTCCCAGCCAGAGAGGTTCCAAAAACACTTCGTGCAGACCACAGAAGGTTCTTAGAACATTCTCTGGTGGGCCTATAGGCGAGCCAGGGCGCTTCGCCACTGCTTCACGCCTGCGCCCCTCCCGAAGGCCGCGAGGCCGAGACGCCACCCCGGCGGGGGGGCGCTCGGCACGCGCGGCCTTTGGAGGCCGAGCCATCGCACTGCACCGACCTCGCAGGCGTGCTGCAGCGGGCGTGTCGCGAGGAGCTCTGCCAGCGCAGCACCCCGAAACGGCGGGCGAAACACGGCGCGGATCGCACGCGGATCCCTTCCTGTGGCCCTCGTGCCTGGCCAGCGGGAAGCCCGCGCGAAGTTCACGTCGAGATCCGGAGCGACCAAGAGGAGGGTATCCAAGAGGGGGGGGATGCAAATCATGACCGGCGGCATGTGCGTGGCCCAGCGGGCGGGCCAGGGACGTAATGAAATAAGAAGAGGCGCCATGAGATCTGGGGAAATACCATGGCCCACGTCATGATATCCCCCCCCCCAGTCACCACCCCCCTCTCTTCCGCCCCCGAATCGAGATCCGGAGCGAGACTCTCCAGGGCACGCCGGGCCCACCGCAGCGGTCTGCCGAGCGAGGGACCCGCTCGGCGAGGCGGGCGCCGTGGGCCCCCGGGCGGCCTGCGCTCCTCGGCCCCCCGCGCGCGGCGCGCAGACCCCGGCCGCGGGGGCCAGTCGAGCCCGGGGGCCATCCACAGGTTTATAAGTCGGGCCTGTCCTCCTACAGGGGGATATTGGACGAACAGTTTAAAATAAATGATACAACAGTGGCCCCAAATTTGCATGTTTCAAAAAACACGAATGCTCAAAATGGGCATTTTTCAAAATAGTGAAGAAAAATCAAAATAGCACAAATGCTAAAAAAATCGTCCCCAGACTATGTTTGGACCATGTTTGAATATTCCCCCTGTAGAGGGACCGGCCCGACTCAACCATAGGGGGTTACCTAAGCGAACCCCACCCCTGACCCCCCCACGATTTCTCTGGGGGGGAGGGGGGGGTTCTCACACTTCCTTCGGGAGCTCCCGAACGAAGGGACCCCCCCCCTCCCCCCCAGAAGTCGTGGGGGGCAGGGGGTAGAATTCGCTCAAGTGGCCCCCCTGATCCGCCATCCCCCAGACCCCCTCCGAGTCGTGGCAACAATCACGACGCGAGGCTTCTCGCGAACTATCTGAGGCCCCTGGGGGCGGCGGCCCATCGGGAGGCCCTCGTCGGATGCCAGGCTGCCCGGCGGCGCAGCAGGGGCTCGACCACAGGAAGACCTTCCGCAGGAAGCCCACGCCGGAGACCCCAGGACGTCCCATGGATTTGTGGTGCAGGAACGTCACGCCCTCCGTCGCAGAGGCATCGAGACCCGGCGCCCGGGGGAGAAAGCAGGGCGCTTCTTGGCACGGGCCCCCACCGCGTGTGCTTCTCCACCCCGCCGTGTTGCAGAGACTTCGGCCCCGAGGGTCGTCGAGCCCCGAGGCCGTCAGCCATGGATCCGGGTCGGAGCTCGTGCCTCTGGCGGCCGTTCGGGGCGACTTTGGGGGGCCCGGGGCCGGCACACCGCCGAGAAGCGGCCCGAGAGGGGAGGCCCTAAAGGGAGGCGAGAGCCGCGGACGGGCGGGCGGCGTCTGCGGCACCCCGAAGCAGACTCCTGGCTCCCTCCCCCCCCTTCCCCCTTCCCTCCCCCCCCCCTCCTAGGGAAACGAACTCTATACACCGACGCTTTTTCCAGCCCTGCGCTGAACTTCGCACAGGAACGCGGCTCCTGGTGTATACGGGATCCTGGTGTATACATGTTCTGTTGTTTCCCTTGGACAACGGGGGAAAAGTATACACCACACCACCCCGACGTCGTCCCCGACCCTCAAAAAGTCATGGGATTGAAAAAAAAACGCCACTGGTAATGTATATGTTCCAGTTTCCGACCTTCCCCCTCCGCTCCCCCTCCCCCCCCCCTCCCTCGGCAGCCCGGGGGCGCAAGCGTGCGCGGTCCTCCCTGCCGGACCGCACAACGGTGCGCGGGAGGTCCGTGCTCTCCCAGGACCGGCCGAGGGCGC